TGGTTTGGGCTTTGCTTCTGTGAAGACTGACAGCCTTAGAGACCCTGTGGTGCAGTTCCACTCTGTCCTCTAGGGGCACTGTGGGTCAGAATGGACTCCATGGCAATGTTCTCCACCCACCCCACCCCACCCCGACACACCCCGGTTTATCAAGTATGGTGCTCCAGGAACCTACGTTCAGAATCTGTGCTCCTTGACTGCGCTTTGGGCAGCTGTCCGGTTGGAGGCTGGGCACCATGTCACTATACCTTTGGATCCTTTCATCACGGACTTGTCCAAAGTCAAAAGTTCTGTGAATTCACACCAGCAGACAATGGTTGGCAGGGGGACAGTACCTTTTGACAAGCCCAGAAGGTATGTTTATGCTGCACTGACTCCCAGAAAACAGATTCCAGTCCCCCAGCCACACCAAAGAAAGCTTCCTTAATCCTGAGAGGTGAGAGACTCAGAGCCAAGTTGTGCCACTCAGTCCTTGGCAGGTTTTGAACAATTTTCTCCAGAGAGACCTGCTCTTGAAGCTACATCACTCAAGCTGCCATTTTTCCACCCTCTTCTCAAACCTACTCCCCCTACCCCACAGTCACCTGAACCAAACCCACTGCCATGGAGTCTGCTCTGCCCGGCGTGACCCAACAGGATGGAGTAGAAATGCCCCACAGGGTTTCCAAGGTTATACAGGAGCAGATCTTCCTCCTGTGGAACAGCTGGTGGGTTCGAACTGCTGACCTTTCGGTTAACAGCGGAAGGCTTAACCACTGTACCCGTAGGGCTCCTGCCAGCCACTGCAATGAATTTATCTTCCATCTCTACCTTTCTAGCAGTTGTGGCATGTTAACCCCTGGTTCCTCACAGGTACCTGGCATTCCAGAAGCCATTTCTTCTGGAAAGACCCTGAAGGACTCTATCCAGGCCCCAGACGTGGTATTCTCTAGGGCACATCCTTCCTCTAGAAGCATTCCACAAACATGGAGAGAACCAGATGGAGTGTGCCTGCTCTAAAACAACCGGGGAAGGACTGAATTCCGTCCATCCTGCTAAGACTCAGGGGAGGAGTACCACCTTTTCTAGAAAGTACCAGGATGGTCAACGGTAAACAGTTCCCTGCTTGCTCAGAGGTAGCCTTCTAGAAGTATTCTGGGTATGGGCTGGGAAGACCAGACGGGCACTGTGGCTTCTAGAAGTGCCAACGAGCTTCTCCAGAAATGGTGTGCCATCAGGAAAAGATGTCCTGCCGGCTCTGGAATGCTCTGGCAGTTCCAGAAAGCCACTCTCCCCTGCTCCATCGCAAAGCCTGACTAACTAGAATCACTCTGGAAACGAGGAGGGGAAAGTGTGGCGCACACCTACTCCACAAGCCCCTCCCACTTCTCCAGAGGTGGCCAGGTCTCAGGAGACACATAGCACTGGCTCGCGATTAACCGGGCTATTCCAGAAAGTGTCCCCGGACTGGAGACAAGTCTGCAGCAATGCCCATCCACTCAGGCAGGAAGGCAGCCTCTGGCTTAAAGATCTTCAGGAAGTCAGAGTCCGGCAGGGTGAAGTTGGCCAGGTAGATGGTGTCTCCTCCAGCCAGGTAGGCGGCCCAGAAGCCAAAGGTGCCAATGGTCATGATAGTGTGGTTGCACTGGGTGAGCAGAGCAAAGTCCCTCGCCGGCGAACCCTCCTGCCCGTTGCCGGCAAAGACCACGTCCCCCCGGGACGTGTCAATGTTTTCCTGACACCACTTCATGCCGTTGCTGGTGACCACGAAGACGGGTGCCTCATACCGCTCCCGAAACCAGTCCATGGCCTTCTGGAGGTAGGCGCGGTCACCCACCACGCCCTTCCAGCGCTGAGGCATGACCTCCAGGTAGTCCCCACGGCGCACGTGGACCCCCACGAAGGTGCTCGGGGGGGCCCCTGTGGGGTACAGGCGGAGCGGCCTCAGCACGCTCTGGGCCTCCTCTCGGAGGTGCTCATGGAGCGTGAACTCCCCGCGGATCTGTTCCCGGATGTGGTGGAAGAAGGTCCAGGAACAAGGGAAGCCAGACAGCTTCAAGTGCGGGTCCTTGAGGTGGGTGTACTCCTCAGACATCCAGTCGTGCAGCTGCAGACTTCGCCAAGGGGTCCGGCTGTCCACCTGAGGCGCCAGCACGGGCAGGGTGATTCGGAACACGGGGGCCAGGGCGGCGTGCATGGCGGGCAGGATGAAGGCCTGACGGCCGTTGAGCTGGGCCAGGGCAAACAGGGTGGCATACTGGCCCATCTGGTTACCAAACCGGCCGTCGGAGTAGATGGTCCAGGTTCCGGAGAGGGACGCAGGGCGCGGGGGAGAGTGGCAGGAGGGGCCGCCAGTCGCTGGTGTGCCGGAGAGGCAGAAGATGGCCACAGGGGCCACCCCCAGGCAGCGGTAGGGACACAGCACAGACAGGTCTAGGCCACTTGGAAAGAGAACTTGATGGATGTGGAGGAAGAAGGAGCCGGCTGAGACAACACAGACTACTAGGAAGGCCAGACAGAGGTGACGCCGGCTGGGGGGCCACATGGCTGCAGGAAGGAAGGGGAATTTAGAAACACTCGGAGTCCGAGGGAGGAGGAGGTGGTTGGGGGCCTGGACTCCTGGGGACTTGGAATTGGGGGGGGGCAGGGATGGAAGATGGTGAGGTGTGATTTCCAAAGCAGCAGTCGTCCCTCATGGAGCCCCTATACCCCTGCACCTCTCGGAGTCTCCACACCTGTAGAGCCCGGCCACCAGCCCTCTTTCCCAGGTGTACCTGTGTGAGAGGCGGAGTCCAACACCGGATGATAGAAAAGGGGCGCTGGAGGTCCGGGACCACGTTGGGAATTTGGGTCCCAAGAGTTGGAGCTGGGGAGAGGACTCGCGTCTGGGGCAGGGGTTGGGAGCGCGCGTGCCTGGCTCGGGCCCGGTGCCCCGTTCGCGCACACTCACCTGGACTCCTGGAGGGGTGCTGGGGCCGGAGCACGGCGTCTGCAAACCTAGCCCACATCCGGCCACCTCCGGAACCGGGGCCGCCAGGTCCCGAGGTCGGGCAGCCCTGCCCTGCACACGGCCTCCCCCGACTGGCTGCTAGGGAGCGGGGACGGGAGGAAGAGGAGGAGGGGGCGCGCGCCTCAGGTTGGAGCCTCCGCCCCCGGGGGGCAGGCCAGGTACCGCCGAGGCGGGGCCGCCCCGCCCGGTTTCCTGGCGCCTGGCCCGGATGCCCCGGGCGAGGGTGGCGGCGCCTGGCCCCTGCCCTCTCGGGGGTCTGGCGGCTCGCAGCCCCAGCCCCCTCCTCCCCGGTCCTCGGCCGGTCAAATGCATGCACCTGGGCAGCTTACCTGGCCGCCTGGCAGCCGCATCCTTCCTTCCGTAGCCTCGGAGATCGGGGGCCTGGCTGCAAGTCTGGACCCAGGCGTTCCGGCCCGTTGCCCGCTCCCACCCAGGCGCCTGGGTTTCCCGTTCGCTCGCGGTACCTGGATGCGCCCAGCCCCGCCACCTGACGGAGGGCACCTGGGTTCAGGCAGGTGCGTCGATGCTCCGCACCCTGCCGCGTGCTCCCGGGGGGGGGGGCGGGGACGGGCAATCAGCCCAGCTGCTCTCGGAGCAGGGGGAAAGACTGGTCTACCTCCCAGGAACCCAGGTGGGCGAACCTCCAGCCTCCAGGTGGCGGGGCGCTCATCCGCCATCCCCCACGCGGAACTCCAAGGTCCCAGCGTCCTGCCTTTCCTTTCTGGGGAATCAAGAGTGGGCCGCGGGACTGCGGCGACCCAGACCGGCTGCCCAGGTGGCACAGTGTTCCCGGAGGGCGGAAGTGGATGCGCGATTCCACACGTCTCGCCGAAGGGCCCCAGCAGCTGGGGCCCGGAACCTAGCGCTCTGCCCGCGCTCCTGCCGACCTGGGGCTGCTTCCTTTGTCAACACCCCTCCCCCACCCACCCCCAGTCTGACCATTGTCCTTCCAGCCAAGGCCCAAGATGCAGGGTTTGGCCTCCAGCCCTTTCTTGCCTTGGATTCAGAAGTCCAGGACCCAAGGAGTCCTGGTCCCAAGCCACCTCTGCCTCAGACCCAGGCGTCTGGGCCCCCAGTCCCCTCCTCTCTTAGTCCAAGGAGTCCTGGCCCCAAACTTTTTTTCTGTCACATCCAGGAGTCCAAATCCAGGCTCCTCCACCCTATGACCCAGGAGTCAGGGCCTGGCCTCCCTCAGACCCAGTAGTCCAGCCTCTGGCCCCCTCTTTCCTCAGTGGCGGCCCCAGGATGGGGCCGGGACCCTCCTCCCTCAGCCCTGGGTGTCTTAGCCCAGTCGTCCCTCCTCCCCCAGCCAGGAGTCCCAGCCCTTTAGCCCCCTCCTCCCTCAGACCTTGGAGTCTGGGGCCCCCAGCCCCTCCAGGTTCCATAGGGAAGTGCGGACCCCACTCCCCTGGGCTTCCGGGCAGTTGGCCAACCCCCTTCTCCCTCCAGCTCCAGCCTAAGGCCGCCTCCTGGGTCTTGGCTCAGCCACAAAGTCTCCTCAGATGCTGACCAGCCCCTCCCTCCCCTGGCTATTTGGGGAGCACCTGTCGGGGGGCCTGGGTGGATTCTGGTGAAAGAAAAAGCAGGATTGCATCAGAGCAGGAGGCTGTGTCTTCGGGTCTGGACGGCGGGTGGTGAGGTGCGGGTTGGCGTCAGCCCAGGGGAGAGGTTGAGAGGCCTGGACGCTGGCGACTTTTCTGAGAACTTGACTTTCACGTGGTAGTTTTCTGCTTCCAGAACATCAGGAACCTCACTGTTGGGTCCCTTCCAATCCCTAGTCAGAAACCGAGACATTCAGACAGGATGGAGAAATTCCAGACCCTCCAACTCCCTTCTGCCTCAGACCCTGGGATCTGTGCTCCTAGCCATTAACGCCCCTGCCTCAAGGTCCAGGAATCCAGGCCCCCAGCTCCCTTCTCTCCTCACACCCAGGAATCTTGACACCCCCCAACCTCTGTCCACCCAGGAGTCCTGATCCTCCCACTCCCTCCTCCCCTAGACCCAAGGTCCTATCCCCCCCCCTTCCCTTTCACCCCAGGTCAGCCATCAGATCCCCCTTCCTCCTCTTCCTCCAGGCCCGAGAGGCAGGACCCGGCCGGAGGGACCCTCCGTTGCATCATGCATCCCCGCTGACCTGGCCACGGTGGAATACTGGCTGCTGCCAAGTAGGTCAGATATCATGGGTCAGGATGACGGGGCGGGTCTGTCTGATATAAATTCTGGGACTTCTGCATCCGTTCCAAGAAGCTGGGTGTCCTGTCCCCTGCGAGTCCACAAGCAGCAGGACCCAGGCCTTCAGCGGCCGCAGTCCTTGAACCTGCTGTCCCAGACCACAGGCTCTGGAAGGGTCTAGACCATTGGCTCCTCACACCTCAGACCCCAGACCTCCGTTGATGGGCTGGGCCGAGTCCGGGCTCGAGCACCCGGGACGGTGGGTCCCGGTGCTGGCTGTCCTGCTGGGAGCCTGCCGAGCACACCCCATCCCCGACTCCAGCCCCCTCCTCCAGTTTGGGGGCCAGGTGCGGCAGCGCTACCTCTACACGGATGATGCCCGAGCGACGGAGGCCCACCTGGAGATCAGGGGAGACGGCACCGTGGTGGGAGCTGCCCACCGGAGCCCAGACAGTGAGTGCCACACGGGGACTGTCTCAGGGCAGGGTCCTGGCGGAGGGGCTGGGGGCCGGACCCCTGGGTCTGAGGGGGGCGTTGGGGGCCTGGTCTCCTGGGTCTGAGGGGCACTGGGGGCCGGGACTCCTGGGTCCGAGGGGCGCTGGGGGCCTGGACTCCTGGGTCTGAGGGGCGCTGGGGGCCAGGACTCCTGGGTCTGAGGGGCACTGGGGGCC